ATACTGTCCCGCTCTGCTGTGCACGCCAAGCTTTTTAGAGGCCAATTTGGCCTTTCCTTCCAAGTGATCACGAAACTGCACGTCACTCGATATGTCGACGCCGAGGATTCCGATACTGGCTGAGGCAACAAGGGGAGTGCCTTGAAACTGAGGAGATACGACAAAACGGTTCTTTTTAGCGGTTAACGCGCAAACTTGTGTCTTCTGGGGGTTAAACTAGACTAGATTTAGTCGCCCCCCAATCCGAGACTCTGTTCAGCAAAGACTCTACTTCAGACACAAGTTTGTCCCGGTACTCGGAGACGTTTTCCCGAGAAATATTGGCACGGCCGGTGTAAAGAGCACCACCAGTGCTGTCATCTGCATAACAATGAATGTTACGGGTTTGTAACATATCATTGATATGCAGAATGAATTAAAAATCGGTATTGTTAGACCGATATACAAAAAAGGTGGATCATCAGATTACGAAAACTATAGGCCAATAACTATTCTACCCACAATTGATAAAATTGTTGAAAAATATATTTGTAAGCAAATTTATGAATTTTATGGCAACAACAAAATATTACAAGAAAAACAATATGGATTTCAACCTCATAAAAATACATCACAGCTGTTAACATCATTTACTAATAGTATATACACACATCTAAACGAAAATAAAACACATATTTGTAGTATTTATTGACTACAGCAAATCCTTTGACACACTCAGGCATAATAAGCTTATAAAGAGTTTGCATGATAGTGGGATTAGTGGACCCTTATTGGATTGGTGCAAGGATTACCTGGCAAACAGAAAGTTTGTTGTAAAAGTAAAAGATGCACTAAGCAAAACGGCAAATATAACTGTGGGCACGGCTCAAGGATCAGTGTTGGGTTCATTACACTACCTCACATATGTTAATAACCTAATAAATGCATTGAAATATTGTGAAATGTATCAATACGCAGATGACACATGTTTATTCATAGCTGGGAAAAATATCAATCACACCATGAGTCAACTGCAAGATGACTTTAACATGTTAACCAATATATGTTACGGGCCTGGTAATCAATTTTAATAAAACTAAAGTTATGTACATCAGTAGTACCAAAAACAGAAGCGACGAGATACCCAAACTAATAGCTCATAGCCACCAATGTTTACACACTAAAAGCGTGCATTGTATCTGTGTCAAGATTGATGTAGTGGAACAACATACTTACCTTGGGCTTATAATCGATAGTCACCTTAGCTGGAAAGGGCATATTGACCGTATATGCGACAGACTTCGAGGACAGAATTCTGGCCAAATTCACATTAATAAACAAAATACCATACGATATAAGAATACAAATATATATCTCATTAGCAGAATCTATAATATCGTATGGTCTTTCTAGCTATGGTAGGACCTATAAAACACACCTAGACCGAATTTATACCTTACAACTCCGTATTTTAAAAACTCTAGTACCAACAAGTGTTACAAACAAATTTAAAGACCAACAACATAATATCTTTGAATTCTGTAAAATATTACCTGTACATAATAAAGTAAAGTATATATTACTTATTGAAAATTACTTTAATAAAAATATACAAATTCCAATACAATATAATTTTAACACACGCCAGTCTAAGAAACCTATCTTAGCTTTACCAAAATACATAAATCTATATGGAAAACGAACATTAGAATACATGAATCCCGATATCATAAACAAACTTCCATCACAACTAAAAAAACAAATTAATCAATGCAACATCAAAAATATATTAAAGAATTACTTCTTAAGTAACTTATAAGTATTGTAAAATAAAAATAATATATTATAAGCTACACATTAATACTATATAAAAACTAATGTTACACTTACAATAATAATTAATAATATAGAATAAGTTTATCTTTAATATCATTAATTAGTATCAAATTATTTGAACAGCCTGTACATGCGAACTCGACACGTTAAACCAGGTAGGCAAATAACGCCACCGAGAGCAGACCGGTTTATTGACTGTAACGGGGAGCGCGGTTCAATGCGTGCATCACAACAATAAGATGTATGACATAATTATAAGGCATAATAATTATTATGCTATGTATGTTGATGGCATCGGTATATGGTAAAGCTGTATAGCTTATGTTTATACTGTAAAATACCAATCTAAATTTTGTAAAAAATTATCAAACAAATAAATAAATAAATAAATAATAAAATAAATAAGAAGAAACAGCGTTAGCGATAGCACGATAGCACGCAGTCAGTGAAACACCAGCATTAATAGGCTTGTAATCGGAGCTTGCACCGTCTAAAACGACTTTGATGCTCCGATCTGCAAGAAAGCTGGTGATCCAATCGCACAATTTCTCGGGAAGTCCATAGGAAGGGAGCTTCGAAAGAAGCGCTTTGTGCCAAACCCGATCGAAGGCCTTCGCAATGTCCAAACTAACGGCCAATGCCTCCCCCTTGGACTCTACTGCCTCCCTCTGTGAGTTAGTGACCAGAAGATCACCAGCTGACCGACCACGGCGAAAACCGTATTGGCGATCACTAATCAGCTGGTGATCCTCAAGGTACCTCATGAGCTGGCAGTTAACAATAGACTCCATTGTAGACAGGTGATGGCGATACGGTGGACGGGTCTAGGCGGTCGCCCTTTTTAGGGATCGAGTGTACGAAAGCCGTCTTCCATGATTTTGGGACTACGCCTATGGAGTAGGAGTACCGGAAAAGACGCGTTAAAACCGGTGTCAACTCTGGAGCACACGTCCCGATCCCGTCCGGCCCACTCGTCTTGTGGATGTCCAGGAAGAGGAGTGCTTTGCGAACCGAGCGCTGCGTGAACTGCACTTCCGGCATGGAGCATTAACCGCGGGATGGTCGGCGGCGTACTCCCCCCGTCCTCGAGAGTCGAGTTGGACGCAAAGAAAGAGCCTAGCAGATCGGCTTTCTCCTTTGCGGTATGGGCCAGTGAGTTGTCCTCCCTGTGCAGAGGTGGAAGAGATGGCTGACAGAAATTCCCCTGGACAGCCTTGGCGAGAGAACAGAATGCACGGGTTCCAGAAGAAAGGCGAACTAGTTTCTCGCCAATTCTGCCTATGTGCTCAGACTTTGGCTTGGCAATGACTTTTGAAGGACCTAGAGGCGATATTATACTTCTTTTAGAGCACTGGTGTTTACATCTCGGGACGTTGATGCGTCAGCCCAGGCTTGGTAGCACTCCTGCTTATAGCATGATGCTATTTTACTGGAGCGACCAAACCATGGCTGAGATTTGCCACCAATGGGCACCACAGAGGAAGGAATAAAAAAAGTTCCATACCCTGAAGTATCACATCAGCGACAGAATCCGCAACAACGTTAGGATCGTCCGGCGAGAAGCAAACCCGCCCCCAAGGATAGGATGCAAAGAAAGCCAATAGCATCCCAATCATCCCAATCGGCTGACCTATAGTGCCAAACACGGCGGCAGCCTGCAGAATGCAACTGCGATTTCAGCGTGAGTGGCACGACACTCCGAACAAGACAATGGTCCGAGGAGCCTAAAGGCGTAGGCGAAGTAACCAGTTGTGTCAGACCATATGCCAAGTCAAAATCATGAACAGATCTCCCCGTATGATCGGTTAAACGTGAACTAAGCCATTCGGCGTGATGGGCGTTAAAGTCGCCGAGGATCACGATCTCTGCGGAGGGGATCTGCTGTAGCAACGAATCTGTAGCCATTTGGACGTGGTCGAAGAGTCGGTCTATTTCGGCATTACCGCTATGGGACCTATAGAGACACCCGTAGACGCGCGGGGATGGTCGTCGCTGTCTACGCGTAGCCAAATGATGGACGGGTCCGAACCTTCAAGACCGCCGAGGCGTCGAGAACAGATGTCCTCTCTGACGTAAACGCTGGAGGTTCCAGCCCGAGGCACAAAGGAGTGTTCCAGTTTGTACCCCGAGTAGGAGAGATACGAGACATCAGCCGGAGAGGACACCTGCGTCTCGGTCAGAAAGAGCAGAGCCGGCCTCGCCGTCTCGAGATGGTAGTGGACGGCGTTTAGGTTAGAGTGAAGTCCCCTGATATTGCAGAAATTCACGGACAGCGTGGCAGGGGTCGCCTTTGTCTTGTTGCTCCGTTTGCCCCGAGCAGTTGTAGTCTTGAGCCGAATTTTGCCCCCCCCCCCCCAAGATACGCGGGGCAGCCTGAGCACCCACGCTCAGAAGTGGAGAAACATGGTCGTGGATGCTCAGCGAGGGATTCTCCAGGGGTGCTGGTACCATCCTGGGGTAGACTATCATCATTTAATTCTGCTACCATGTTGATGGGGGGGGGGATTTGGGCCTCCGGCCACCTGCACTCACAAGACGAAACGCGGAAGCAGAGCTTCCACTTCACGCCGGTATTCTGTGAGGTCGTGGTACAACGGTCGTGGTGCAACAGCAAAGCTGCCGCGTGGTTCTACCACTGTTAAATATAAACACATATATACATAGCCTTCTAAAATGTAACTATCCTTTAGGCTTCGCCGTAGTTGGGCTGCAATCGGTATCGATAACTAAAGTTGAGGCAGGCAATGCATGGTGTAGCAATATTTGTCACCCACACATATACATTACACGCACACTGGTGTATTTTGATTTTGGTCTCGCCCTAATCACTCCATCGCCAATCTATACTATACTGTTTATGATTCCATTATTTTTAAGTAGGTTTATTTAATTGTTGCCGTGTGATGGCGGTTTTAGGGAATCCATCACTTTATTTCATCTCATAAGAGCCGACTATGGGAATGATGAAAAAGTTCTAAACACCTTCGATAGATGGCATTAATACCATTACGTATATGCTGGATGTAAGGTAAGTAATTCAGCGAAGGGGAGATGTGTCAAAGGTGTGAGATATTTAGTACTGTAGTGGTTAAGCTTAAACTTATAGCCAATCCTTTCTAGAATAGGACAGGTGCAAGTCTAACATCGAGATATAAAACGGTGCGGGTGTGTGTGTGCTTGTGTAGGTACGACCACATAGCGAGCTGGCTGCCGGACGCGTTCAGCGCGCTACTGGAGCGCCTGCGGCAGCGTGAGCTGGAGCTGGGGCACTTACCGCAGAAGTGGCGCGTGCGCTGGGACCAGCTGGACCTGCCCAACACGCTCGAGCTGCAGGTACGCACCGCACATGCAGCTGTGATCGGTCACCTGCACTTGCACATGTGTTTCTACTTGCCGCAGAAGTGGTTACTATGAGCATAGTAAAAACAGAATAGTAGGATCTATCTCGCGTCGCGCGAACTTAAATGCCTACTGTTGCAGGATTGTCTTTATATTTAACAGCTAAGCCTTATTTAGTTTTGTAAGTAGATATGATATTTACGAACATAATACATACGGATACGTAAATTTGCATCATATTTGTTAATAATTTCTTTAGTTTCCTCTCAAAGAATCAATGTTTGTCAAAAGAAATACCAGCTTTATACATTACAAAAATACCAAATGACTGAAATACGAGTAAATTGACACTGAACAAATGTTGTCAGCTCAGATTTAATGTCTAAAATTATTTTGATCCAAAGTGATATGATAATTAATGTACTTATGAGGTATGTATCTATGTATATAGTAATATAACCTATTTATAAAAAGCTTATTTACTTGAAGAAACGCATATATTAATTTATTTTACAAAAAGAGAAAATAAAACGGAAAATTTTTATTAAAAGTCAACCAAAGTCTGAAATAAAAGTGATTACGAGCGCGGCCGTAGTAAATACAGAATAGTAGGCTATTTTCTAAGAAATGTACCGAACGCCGCTAATATATGTGCGTGCCTGTCACGTGCCAGTAGGGACTTGTACGCACGAGCCACTTGCACGCACATAACGACACTTGCTAAGTCGGGAAGATCGGGCGGAGTCTGGGACGTCCACCGCCGCACCATAGTAAAAACAGAATTCCGCGCTGAGCGCCTACTATTTTAAATGCCCCATAAATGCCTACTAATTTGCTTATACTATGCTATATAAGTGGCAATGTTTTAGTATTGAAATATCAGGGCGCTAGTATAAGTATTAACGGCTTCGTGGCGCAGTGGCATAGCCATAAGTTACGGCGCTAAAGGCCGTAGGCTTGAATCCCGCATGAAATAAATATTTGTATAGTTTACAAATTATTGTTTTGGGTTTTAATGTTTGTTCTTATGCAATTTATGTGTGGATGCAGTTCATAATATCGGACAAAAGTTGTAGTGTGTTGTAAAAATGTTAAAGGGTTTGCTTTGGTGTGTTAAATAGTATTGCTAATATTGCGGGCGATACTACGAATATCTGATGATGACAATTTAACGGTGCTTTATTGTTTCAAAATGTTAAGTGAATGAAGATGTATGAGTATTGTTACATATTAAAACGATCAAATCGATAAAAACGATCTACAGGACACTGTCCTGTAGATCGTTTTTACACAGGAGGAAATGATAGTGCATAAGTGTGGGCGCAAACATATGTTCACTCATATGTCCCCTGTTTTTAGAGTTGATGGGGATGGCAATTTGACATGACAGGAATAACAGTTTCGACTTTACGTCAAACACTTTTAATTTTGTGACTCTGGGCCAACGAACTCTCAGTCGATAAAACCCAATAACTGATATACGACTCGACTCAGGATCATATGATCAACAATGGTTGTTAATGAGCGGCAAATGAATGAATATGATGGTAGCAAGCTGTAGTTGGTGTTTGGTAAGTTTCGGTAAAGGTGTGATCGTGTTGTGTCCCGCAGCGCAACGCGTCAATGTGCAGCGGCGTGGTGCGGCGCGCGACATGCGCGGCGCACCGCCGCGGCACGCTGGACGTGTTGCTGCGCGCGCTGGCCGCCGCGCCGCCGCACGCGCACGCACACCCGCACGCGCATGCGCAGCCCGCGCACCGCTGGGCGCCCGCCGCCGCTGCCGCGCCCGCGCGTTGCGACCACTGCGCCGACCTGCTGTGGGGCCCGCTCGAGGTACGTGCACACGAGCACGTACACGCACACTCATACGTACACGCACACGCGTCCGCACGCGCACCGCTGTCCGTAGCTGAACATAAGACTCCTCCATACACCGCTGTCCGTAGCTAAACGTAGGACTCCCCCCCCATAAAATTGTTCTTCTTTATCAGCCTGTAAAAGTGAATCGGACGTAGACCTCTCCTTTTGTAGAGAGGATTTATCTCAATCGTCACGCTGAACAAGCGGATTGACGGGTTCCAAACGTCTCGTACCTTTGATGCTGCTGTCTGTCATCAGTCCCTGTGTCTGACGCCTGACTTAAACGAACTGGTTATACTGAATTCTATCGGAATCCATAAAAATATTCTCGTACTCCATAGTCGCCTATAAAAACACTCACAGAACAAAATGCAACGACGGGTGGATTTTCCTACGCCGCCTCACTCTGCAATCTTCATTCATTAATTATTCATTGTACTTAATAATTATTGCTTCTTGGTGTATTACAGACGGGGGTGCGTTGCGTAGACTGTGGTGCGGCTTGCCACGAGCGATGTGCAGAACCTTTTGCGTTGCCCTGCACCAAGTACAAGGCGCCCCCGCCCGACCGCGAGCGCGACCACCGCACCAACGTGTCCAACAGTAAGTCGCTTCTTGTGTCTCGCTCCATCTGCCTCTATCTCTGTCTCTCTAACTCACTGCCTATTGCCCTGCACAAGAACTCCTACTAAACACGAGAATTGTCATCAGTCAAATTAGAAGCTTTAGAAGCTTAGAAGAACTTGAGAGAATTAGAGACGACAAAGTATAATATATGGGAGCAATCACATAAAATAAAAATTCTTATCATGTTGAGTTAAGTTAAAGAGACATTTCACGTAAACATATATTTTATCCTCTGTAAGCAGGTGTTGCCACACTTCAGCCTTCATCGCAACAGTACTACGAGCAGTTCTCATCTAATGTGGCGGAGAACCGGACCCACGAGGGCCACCTCTACAAGAGGGGAGCACTACTCAAAGGATGGAAACAACGGTATTGACATTAATTTTTACTTTGACAATTTCATATTTTCCCACCATGCTCGAACCCAATAGGCAACATCAAAGTTTTAAACTTTCGCGTAATGTGTTTGCATGGCAAGATACAGGTCAATCATGTTGACTCGTTTTATTTTCTCACTGCCTTTTCTTAATAGGATAGGGTGACAAACGAACACACAGTCCACCTGATAGTAAGTGGTTGCTGTGACCCGTAGACATCTACACGAATCAAAATGCAGTTGCTTTGTCACCCGTGAGAACTAATATGGAATGCCTCGTTTCCAGTAAAAAGGGTCTCAGGTTCTCTACACTCACCATACGAAACACAGCAACATTAAGCTACTATTTTACGCTGCTACTCTGCCTGCCCGATGTCTATCGCCGGGTTGCTCTATGCGCATCAATGTCGTTAATTCGACGATCATTTATTATTTCATTTCAATACTAGTATCAGTACAGTACCTAACTTAAAAGCTGTTGTTTAAATTTCTAAATAAGTACATTTAATAAAATGCAAAAGTCTTGTTGAAAAGTTCTTCCACTAGTCAAATTCCTTAGTCGGTTGTAGGTAGATGCAAGGATTTTATCTGGACTAACAAGGTGTGAGGTATTAAAAGCGTTTGATTATGAATGAACATGTGTTTTTTATATTGTAAGGTGCCCTTTTTTAAAAGGGCTTTTGAAGTGCGCGAGTTGTGAGTTCATAAGATTTATCACTATTTTCAGAATTATATTATTCAGAAAGTTCAGAATCCGCAACGATGTTTGGACGAAATATTATTCTTTCATTTGATAAGTCCTAAATAATAATTATGAAACACATTGCGAATTGTGTCAAAAAGACCAGTATAACTAATAGCGACCACAATGGCTACAAAAATCTGCTTTTTGTTGCTATTGTAACTGATCCGATTTCAAAAAATTACCTGGCCACACTAACGGAAACTAATGAAGGCACGACCACAGAATAAATAATAGAACGCGCAACACAACATAATGAAGGATAGTTTGTTAAATGATATTATTGATTTAATTATTAATAATTTTATACGTTTATTTAATAGTAAGCAATTTGTAGTTAAAATATTTATCACTATAAAATATATATTTGACGGCTCCGTGGCTTAGCAAACTCTAAGGGCCACGGGTTCGGTTCCCACACGGAACAAAATTTTATATACCTACAAATAATTGTTCCGGGTCTAAATGTTTGTCCTTGTGATGTTTATGTTCATGTTAACTGTCCCCACGATATACTTAGGAAAAATTCTCAGTGTGGAAATAACGTTATTATAAAATAGAAATAAAAAAGATATGAGCCAGCTCAAGGGTGAAGTGCTCGCCGTAAACACGAGCAATCCGGATTCGATCCCCGCGGACACCAATGAAATTTTTATTTTTATTAATTATCTTTACATTTTGAAACAGAATAAATGTATATCAAACGATATCTATTTTATATAATAGATATTTTTCAATTCGAACATGTATTACTTACCCGTTTCTAGTTGTTACCTCGACGTTGTGACATTCCTTGGTCTTAAATAAAGTAAAAAAGAAAAGCCGACTTCAATTTAATAAAATAATCTATACATATTAGCTTCCGATGTCGGGGCCAGATCTGATATTAGTTCTTATATGTCTTATTATCCTTGTATGCTCTTATCACCGACCTCAGAAACTATTATGTGTAAATTATTTTATTCTTTCAGTTCCAATGGTATTAAGATGATTCGTGCTAGATACCACTAGTAAATCTTACGCTCGCCCCACCTCGCACAGTCTCGCACACAGAGAGAACATTGTAGTGTGCGTCAAATTTACGCCGTTCCAGAGCGATTTTTACTTCCGTATGTTTGAATATACGCTCTTAATATGTTTTCTGCGCATGATTCTGTATGTAAAATAAATATTAATTTTAGTAAAATAAGTAAAGAATAAACAAACTACACTTTCTGTACTAACCTTTTTTCAGTGTGTCAATCCGCCTACTTAGCATGCTAAGTTGGACAATAACTTCTCCCCCTCCATGTAATAACTATGTACAGCTGAAGCGAAATAGAAACATGTTAAAATCAAATTCAATCTCAAGCATACCACTACAAGGCTTTAAGATAGAATACGTTGATTCTGCGTTGATTGGACCGTAATTAATTATTGAAAGTTAAAGGTAGTGGAGGTTAACTATGACATCAGGACGTTTTTGACCCCGGTCCCTCATGCCAATAAAATGAAAGTAATAAAATCCTTAAAAATACTAGTTTTTAGTAGTCGAGGCTATTGTTCTCATTTCGGTACATCATATTTCAGATGGTTCGTTTTGGACTCCATCAAGCATCAGCTGAGGTATTACGACGCGATGGAGGACTCCCATTGCAAAGGATTCATTGGTGAGCATTTATTTCTTTTTATATATATTTTTTAACTTTTTAGCTGACTTTTTAAAGATGGAAGTGCACAATTCGACTGTATGTTTTTTAAATTATTTTGTTTGTATGCTTAGCGAATTTGTTAACTATTTTAAAATCGGTCTAACTATTATTGTTTTCATTAAATAAGTTATTCTCCAGAGAATTTAATTGCAATTTTTCTTTCCATAGAAATTTTCAAAAAAAAAATTCCACCCGGAAGGGAAGAAAATGTTTAATGTAACTCTTTTTACGAATTTCAAGTTGTTACCTTGAACTTATAATATATCATAGACCACTCAAAAGGTTCAAAATTAAAGGGGTTTTATTTTTTCTATACACTATGTTTCGTTCGTCTGGTGGTTGTAAGTGCGACTGATGATCACGTGGTTTAAGTCACGGGTCAGCCAAAATCAGTTATTAGAATTTTCTATCAAAAAAATCTCGAGTGTATGTTGAATCCCCTTTCTTGAGCAATTTTTACTCTACTGCCCGAGAACTCTTTCTAAAAAAGAAATTGTGTTTAAAAATAATAAGCTATGCTCTGTGCTGGAGACGTAAGATAATCCATCACCTCATTTCATCTCGTGGATGTCGTAAGAGACGACTACAGGAACTGCCAAAGATCTTTTGCCGGCCGATAGATGGCGGGCGACCATCATATTTACGCTAGATGACAGTTACGTCGATCTAAAATTCGCCGCGTTGCCGGCCTTTTAGAAAGGAGTAAGCTCTTTTCTTGAAGGTCCGTAAATTATACGACTTCCGGTCCGGCAAAATCGCCGGTCGTAAAAGATTCCACAGAGGGGTCGTATGAGAAAGAAGACTCCTAGTAAAGGTGAACCACCAAGCATTCAGATGGTGTGGATGGTATCGTGAGTTTTGTCGCGACGTGCGTTCGTGAAATTTGGCGGCTGGAATTAATCCGAACAATTCCTCAGAGCACTCCCCGTGGTAGTGCGATACAAGATGCATAGGCATGCAACATCTCTTCGCAACGACAGTAGGTCGAGCTGATCGGAGAGGACTCGGTCGTCGACGATTTGAACCGGTCTGCGCTGAATACGTTCAAGTGGAACGAGTTGGCACTGGGGTGCACGGGCCCAGAGATAGAAACAGTATTCCATGTGCGGCCGAACTTGCGCTTTCTAAAGTTGCAGGTGGTGTGCCGGCATCAAATACTGTCCCGTTCTGTTGAGCACACCAAGCTTTTAAGAGGCCAATTTGGCCTTCTCTTCCAAGTGACCACGAAAATGCACATCATTCGATATGTCGAGGCCAAGGATTCCGATATTGGCTGAGGCAACAAGGCTGAGGAGATACGACATTAATGGGCTTGTAATCGGAGCATGCACCGTTTATTACGACCTTGATGGTCTGATGGTCCAATTCTCCACAATTTCTCGGGAAGCCCATAAGGTGGATGCTTCGAAAGAAGCACTTTGTGCTAAACCCGATCGAAAGCATTTGCTATGTCCAAATTAACCCGCCAAGGCCTCCCCTTGGACTCGATCGCCTGAGGCCATCGGTGTGTTAGGTAAAAAAGAAGATCACCAGATGGGCGACCCCAACGAAAACCGTAATTGCGGGTACTAATCAGCGGGTGCTCCTCAAGATACCGCGTGAGCTGGCAGTTAATGATCGACTCCATTCATTCCACAACAAGGAGGTGATTTCGATAGGTCTATAACTGGACACTCCGGACTAGACAATAATCCAAGCAGCCTAGAGGGACGTCGATGGAGACCTGATATCTGTCCTGATAAGAGATCTGCAGAAGATCCAACAGGGAAGGTGCATGATCCTCCGCATCTAGAATCCGCGTATGTAAAGTAGCCAGTTGTGCCACACCATATGCCAAGGCAGAGTCGTAAATAGATCTCCCCGCATGATTGGTCAAAGGTGAAACGAGCCATTCAGCGTGTCGGGCGTTAAAATCGCTAAGGATCACGATATGCGTGGATTAAATCTGCTGCAGCAAGGAATCTATGGCCATTTGGACGTGGTCAATAAGTCTGTCTATTTCGGCATTACCGCGGCGAAGGAGAGGGGGGTGTATTGGGCCTCCGGCCACCATTATCCACCAGACTAAATGCAGAAGCAGAGAGTCTAGTGTCATGCTGCAGTTGTATTATGGTTGTAGCAAGAATGGGTCGGCTCGACCTTGGAAGGACATTTGCACAGAGCATCACCGTTAAATATCAGTGTAATGTTGCTGTGTTTCGTATGGCGAGTGTAGAGAACCGGTGACCCTTTTTACTGGATAAGAGATATTTCATCTTGTTCCCCAGGGATGACAACACATCTGTATTTATTTTGATTCATAATCGAGGATAGATGTAGGTGTCTATGGACCACAGCATCTTCTTATCATCAGATGGACTGTGCGCTCGTCACCCTTATTCTATAAAAAAGCTAATATAAGTGATTTGATGTGCAGACCTGGCGGAGGTGATAACAGTGACGCAAGCACCAGCCGCACCCGGCCCGCCCAAGAAATGCGACGAGCGCTCCTTCTTCGACGTAAGTACACCATTGCTTCCACAGCATGACCCTCCGTCTTTCAGCGGAGATTGACAAAAATATAATTTAAACAGATACTTCTATGTATACTACTAGACAGGCTCTGCGGCCTTTATACTTTGCCCTCTGAGTTACGGTCAATTTCATTAAACTAGCCATATACGTTAACCCCTCAAGCCCCTTAAAAATCCCGTGAAGTCGCATGCGCCCGGCAAATCCCAAGCGCTCGCAAGCGACCGCACCCACCCACAGCACTTAAATCCATTAAAACTTATATTTAGAGACGATTTTTCTATGAAGAAGTTTATTAACATTATAAAATCTATACAAAATTCTCTATCTTTCGGTCTAAACAAAAGTCAGGTATTACTTCATTACAAAAAGATTTTATTGTATTTTGATAACAAAAAGAAAATATACCAAGCGAATGTCGGCAGCGTGAAAATCACAATTATTTCTATATATTACTCAAAATTATTTACGTAAATCATTGAAGTAATATGTACTTACGTACTAGAACAGCTATTTCAAACAAAAAATGTGCGCTACTCTGTATTCGCGCGGTTGGTTTTTTTATCATAGAATAAGCATAGGTAGAATGATCCGTAGGTAGATTGTATTGATAAATAGGTAAATTATATCGAGAACAATATTTAAATGTTGTCATTTATTTTGTATATTATATTTGCTTATTTAATATAATATTACGTAATATTATCAAAATTACATTTTAATGATATTTTTATCTGAATATTTTAAAAGTTATCTATGTCAAATATAAAAAGCATACTAAATTTTAACAATACTTAGTTTAGTTTAACAATACTTATTAACATAACATTTAAATTACAAATATATTTATTTAAATTAGAACAAGAGTCGTTCATAAATGCTGGGCACGCGAGAGTTAAAAATGGACGAATTTATTCCACTTTGACTTTGATGTGGAAACCTAAAATAAAATAAAAGAATAATAAGCAGATTTAAATATGAAAAATTTGGCCTGATTATAATAACTTGTATATGTTTCTACAAAAAAAAAATGTGTATAATAATATTATATTTCGTCCTATACTTAAGTACCCACAGAAATGGCGCATCTGAACATATTAATTTCATAATCTATATTCCATTCCACAGATTTGTTTTATTATTAATCTAAAATACTTTTTTTATTGATTAAGTATCTTATTAATCTAAGACTACTACTACTACTACTAGAAAAGTAATTCCTTGGTTTTTACTGACATTTCTTGAATTATTTGTGCAAATTCTAAGTACACACGACGGCATATTTTTATTAAAAGATTTTTTTAAATCAAAACAACACGTGACTACTCTACAAGCGCCTAGCGAGTGACTGATTAATGTGCGGTGTATGCACCGCAGTTGAGTGGAACACAGTAGCTAAATGCAGTGTCGCCTCTAGTACGTAAGTACATAATAGCTCAATGACGTAAATAGATGAATTATATTCACACAAAAACTTTAATTACAATTTTATAATAAAACACTATACTAAAACACTAGAAACATTCACGCGAAAATTGCGTATGAAATAAACGTAGATTATAAATAAATATTCATAAGATGAGATAAACAGTTTTTTATTGCACAAGAGAATAGAGTTTTTTATATTGATTATATAATGCCAAACTTCTTCATAGAAAAGTAGTCTCTATATATAATAATAAGATTTTATGGGTTAAAGTCCTGTGGGTGGGTGCGACCTCATAAGACCGCTAGGGATTTGACGGAATATGGCCGCGGGCTCATGCGACCGCTCGGGGTCTGAGAGGTTAAGCAGTAGGGATAACAGAAAAATAATTTGCATGTAACATTTGAACAGCTCCGCACGAGTCGACGTACGTACAACTTCTGCGCGAGCGACGCGAACGCTGCGCAGGAGTGGATCGAGAAGCTGCAGGCTTGTCTGCAGTGAGCGAGACGCCTTCGTACACTGCACTGCTCCCGGTCACTAGGTCTGGGGAAGTGATCTAGGTGCCACAGAAACGAAATCCAGGTCTTCAGAAGCGAGCTGAAGTTTAGATTAGAATTTAAGATATGAGGACAGATGTCTAAGAGAAGACGACTAGACACGGTTGAATTCTGTTTCAAAAAAGAACGCAAAGCTTTTTCATAGCTTAATGTGTCCGTATATTTTATTTTATAAACATATGTTCACACTTTAATATCGCTCTTATGGTTTTATTATTTATTTCCCGTATCTAATGGGACAATTTTAAATTATTTACAAGGCAATGCATGAAATAGCTTTAATATCAAAATTATCCTTATTATTATTTGGTATGTTTATAGAACGATATGATATTTCATTTTTGTTTTACTTTCATTTACGAAAAACTTCGAAACATCCCAGTCACATTACGAGGGAATTTGTTTCAATATTATTATTTTCCCTGCAAACGTAATGCAATTTTGACCTTTCACTTGAGGTTATAAGTATTCTATTTGTTAAATAAAAGCTTTTAAAACTAAATAAACAAGTAGCTTGTACCTATGTCTGACGTATGCCATGCTGCATGATTTTAATATATAGAGGAAAAGAGATCCATAGTCAGGAATGAAAATATGAAATTATTATGTTTACTGTCTCCCAGCTGTGAATTGCTGTTCGTTTTATTTATTTTCCTTACATTGAGTTGTTCAGTACATTGAGATTATTTATTTGTGTTCTTTAACGTACAAAATAATTAGCTTTATTTATTAGCCCTGTACAAATACACTTATTTCAGTGATCACAATTGAATGTATCATTCTGTTATTTCTTTTTTGTAGCAACATTAATAATTATGTTCAAATACATAAAAAGATCTTTGACAGAAACACACCCGTTTATATGAACGCTTTGATTACCTTTTAATATTAATTTAAAACGTTTTATATGCACAGGACAACGCTTACGTTACTTTGTGCCAGGGGTTCAGTTTCATGCGTATAGTGAGGCATCTGCGTAGGGTTAACGCTAATTCGAAAAAACATCCAGTTTGCATATATTCGTTCTTAAGTGACAGAATAGTTCGTCAGACAGTGCTAGTATTACCGTAGTGTATGAAGACGTGGATGCATAGAGTATAGAGTTATATTGTTACGTTGGATATTTGTAAATATTTTATATTTAATTATTGTTGTGTAAAGTCTTGTTTCTTTTAAACGTTTACGTTTTGAACATGTTAATCGCATTTATGTATGTTTCCGCAGAAATACAATTATGTTACTTATATTCGATTTTTCCCGTCGTACAAAGAATACTATGACAAAAATTTTTACAAATAAATATGTATATTGGTTAGTAATTGTCATGAAAAATATATACTTACAAAATGATTCCACATGTAAAACCAAAACCTTTATAATTATTGAATCCTTATTATATTATTCTACGAAATATTAAAATAAATAGGGCGAAGTGTTATATATTTAAAATATTGTAGCAAAATTTAAATTGATAACTGACCTGGAGGCAATCGTGATTCGATTTTCTTTGTAAGACGTGTGTTATTGTATGAAAAATTTCATTTTATACCGATTCCATATCGTCACAAGCGTGCTAAAATTACATAAATGTGTGTTGCGTCGTTGTAGTTATAAAACTTATTTTATTTTGGAATGAATCATCATTACCTGTGGGAATCTCGTCGGGGCGGCTTAGCCCCGGTTTGTTTGGCGTATTGTAAATAACTCATTACGTTTATGTTTACATATCAGTGCGTCGCCGCGACCTGTAGGGTGTGGTTCTGCTACGACAAGTTGTATATATAAGTTTATATTTTAGTCCGGCGAGCGAAGTTCCGCATCGCGGCGGTCGGCTTGGGAATGAGTGTCGTAACAACGCGCACGGAACTGTTACGCACTATGAGAGTAATTTAAAATTTAACGCCATTTTTAATGTTAAGCCAAAAGGTTCGTGTATCACCAATTGGTCTTTAGGCAAATATTCCAATTAGAAATGTTATCGTTTAAGTCGATGGACGGCTTTTGAAAACAATTTCCTATATGGTTGTTAATCGTACATATTTTATATAATAAATTTGCATTTATTGATTAATTATGTTAAAATTTACTACTTATTGCTGCAATTTATACAAATATTTTAAAGACAAACTTTAAAAAATAACATAACTGTGGTCAATGTTGTTGGTATAATTTCAGTATATTTTTCATTAAAGTCGCCAGTTTGAGGACTAGTCAGATCAGTGACACGGGTCCTATAATTTTTGGAATTTTATCTGTTGTCAACTCATAGTGCCGTCGCAGTCCGTCCGCGCCTAGCTACAGAGATTATTTGTGCCAAATACGCACAAAGTGCACCAACGCATTTGCTCAGAGCCATATCATACAAACTTCTTTACTTTTGCCTATGAAATATTTCATTTTTTACATCCACATTCTGTATATCACGTTCTGACCCCGGGCTTATGAGTTAGAATGTTATTTACCTTAAATGTAGCTTCGCTTAGACAGAACCGTCGATAGAACCCGGCGCTGTGCAATTTCTGACTCTTTTGTGTAATTCGTTTATTCAATCGCAGCGTCGGACGAATTACAAATGTAACAGTGCACTGCGTACAATGGAAATAAAGAGATTTTTAAACTAAATACTTAGTTTCATTACTCCTTGAGAAAAAATGCACCCCATTTCACCGTCCCGAGGGTGTCGCAAGACGCTACTATTGGGATATGCTATCTATGTATTTTATCGCTTTCAATAGATGGCGGTATAGTTATTGATTTTACAGGCGGAAAATATCTCGATCAGCGACGGGAAAGCAGCGTCAAAGGTGGGAAACTGCGAAACTATTACTGCGATAGTCACGGTAACATCTATTATGTTTGCCTCGACTGATGATTGCTTCGTTGGTCTAGTAGTAGTAACTGTGACTGCTGATCATAAGGTCCCGGGTCTGGCTAAAATTAATCATTGGGTTTTTCTGTCAAGAAACTTTTGGTAGCACTTTGGAGTCAGGAAGTTAGCGGAATATTAACTACCCCCGTGCCTCGTAAGGCCCCGTTTACAACTGCCACTGCCACTGCCCGACGATCCCTCAAATGTCGGTTTTTCGCGCGGATGTCTAAGGACGGGCAGCGCGAGCGGGAGCGAGTGTGTTTATATTCTCGCTCACTTGCCGCCGAAGTTCGACCGAGAAACAACGTGCTACGTTTAAAAACGGCAATTTATCATATATTAATTTATTTTATATAATATGTTAATCTGTCCTGTGTTTTAATGATAAAAGAATTAAATTTTTAGAACTTATGAAGTTGAGCGGGTAATATGGGATCCTCATGATAAAAACCATAAATTGCACGTAGTAGCTTCTTATACTGAGCACACATAATACTGTCGCACCAACAAACTCGACGTCAGTCATTGTTGCGAGTCGATCAATAAAGAAGTATGAAGGCTGAGTGTACACCCACTCGCGTCGTTTTTGCCACAGAAGTAATTAAGGGAAATATTTCCGGCAGCAACAGTAGCAGTGGCTGAGTGTAAATGGGACATAAAGCACAAAGCTGTTGGTTTCCTGCGCCTGATATGTCTCCGGTCGTGTCGGATTGTCGTCCCATTGGACTATGTAAGTGAGGGAATAGAGTATGTAAGTGATGGAATAGAGAATGCATGTGTGTTTGCACATACACTCGGATAAACTATCCTGTCCTGCGCAAATGTCTAGTCTTGGCTGAGACTGGCCTCCGTGACCGGAGTCGGTCTTGAGGACATTTGTTTACTTTCATTAATTACTGCAATCGTCTGTTCTGCCTGTCAGTAGTGATGATTCAGGCAAATCCTTACTATAAGTCCATCTTGTTCATTCGGGTCGACTATCATAAACGTAGTGATTTATATTTGATTTGGGTAATCATGCTCCACTGGGTGGATTCCTCGATAATTTTTCACCTGTTTAATGTGGGGGTCGTAACATAATAATAGTTTTTAATCCTTCAATCCCCATAAAATTCCCATTCAGTCGCATGCTCCTGGCAAATCTCGAGCATGCGACCGCACCCACCCACAGCACTTAAAACCATTAAAATATATTTAGCGACTACTTTTCTGTGAAGAAGTTTGGCATTATAAAATCTATACAAAATTCTCCATCCTGCGGTCTAAACAAAATTCAGGTTTTACTTCATTACAAAAAAATTTTATTGTATTTTGCAAACATACCAAGCGGATGTCGGCAGCATGAAAATTAAAATTATTTACATATTACTAGAAATTATTTACGTAAAAAGATTTTATTCACACAAAAACTTTTATAATAAAACACTACAGATAAAACACTAGAAAAATCCAAAAATCAACACAACAACATCCAAATGAAAATGGCGTACGTAATGAATGTAGAATATAAATTAATATCCATAGATTAACTGTATAGAGGATAGAACATTTCATATTGATTCTATAATGCCAAACTTCTTCACAAAAAAGTAGTCTTTAAACATAAGTATTTATGGGTTAAGGTGCTGTGGGTGGGTGCGGTCAAATTTGACCTCTTGAATTTTGACGGAATATCAAAGCGGTTAAATTTGAACGCTTGTCGTTTGAGAGGTTAATACTCTTTTAATCCACCAATGTAGTGATTGATCAATAATGTTATTATATAAAGTATATCAAATAATATTTTAAAGTATTAAGCATGATTCACGTTACACCGTGTCGCGACTGGGCCGGACCCACCTAGAGCATGTCCACCGTGCGCCGGCCGGTCAAGTCATTCATGCTACACCAGGCTGTTGCGTGTACTATTTGCACGGCCGTGTCTGTGATAGGTGTTTTGTGTCTACTAGTGATTTCATCAGTCGATTGGCGTGACGCTTGAGTAATGTGCAATTTTCACAATTTCAATTAATATTGTTTTTCCAATAACATCTTTTAATTTACTATCCAAATACTTATAATGGATCATTTCGTCA